GATTTAACTCCCAAGTTAGTCTTAACGTTCGACCAAAATTTGTGCACATCTATACCTAGATGCTGCTATTTGTTGCTTCTAGAACCACTTCCCAAAAAAATAGGTTAGATGCCTCGAAACTTAACCTAAATCCCTTAGTCTATTAGTCTGATAAGACTCCTAAACACTTATTTTAAATTGTGTAGAAAAAGATTCGTTGCCAGATTTAACATAAGTTAATCTGAGGTCCTACTCGACCGAAAGGGGGTGGATTCAAATTAAATTGCTTAAAATCCCTTAAAGAAAGGTGAATCATAAGCTAATTGCTAGTAAATCCTTAAAGGTAAAGCTTTGCGTCAAAATGCTAAAATAGCTAGTAAATCCTAAACAAGGTGTAGCATTTCTAACACTGAAAGAAAAGTATTACTTTGATATCACAGTTTTAAAGATAACCTGTGACCCATTTCTACACACATAAAAATAAGTCCTTACAATATGTATATGAAATATACAAGTATAGTGGGTACTGACTGGATTGTGTTCTTTTGATATTTCTTCATAACTTGAGTTTTTTTGCCATCAGCTGAAAATGGATCCAAGCATCCTCAATTCTGGGCACATCATTGACTCCATAGAGAAACAGAAACAAAATTGTTGCAAAGCTTATCCACTTATCTCTAGATAAGCTGGATAACCTAAACAATTTTAACCTCAGCCTATGTGAAGAAAAGATTCAAGAATTAATTAACTCAATTCAAAACCCAAATGAAAACTTTCTGATAACAGATGTACTCTGTGAGCTCACGCTACTTTATCAGCTTAAATCCCAAATAAAAGCTAAACAGTACTCTGAGTTAGAAGCCAAATATCAGATGATCCTCCAGAGTGTAAGTGCTGCAAATCTTTTACTGTCAGGAGCTGAGATAACAATAGCAGCTGGAAAGATCAAAGACCAACAAGGCCAAAGGTGTGGAACCCCCTCTCCGAGAACATATGCAATAAACAAAGCCAGCAGACTTTTACCCCGTTTACACTACCCTTAAAAAACTGAGCCGAGACCGGTCCGAGCTCAGTAACTGAGATAACTTGTCGTGTGTGAACGGAAACAACCTGAAC